AGGCCTATGCCCCAGAAGGCCTTCCCGCCAGCTTGCCCACTGCATTCAGGCCTCTGCTCCATGTCCTGTGATCAGAGTTGTCTCTAAAACAGCACCTGGCCTCCTCCTCACCACCCCACACCCCAGGAGTATCTCCTTCTTGGTGTTCAGCACCCATCACGTATTTGTTGCTGATTGTCTGTGTCCTGCCAATGAAGCCTCCCACTCCATGGGAGCAGGAGCTCTGTGTTGGCACATCGCAGCACCCAGGCGTACAAGTGTCTTGGTTTTGCCACTGTGTTTGTGTGCTAGGGCTGCAGGAACACAGCACCACATGCCGAATGGTTCCAACCACTGAAATGCATTGTCTCGCATTCCTGGGGGCCAGAAGCCAGACATCAAAGTACCAAAAGAGCCAGTCCTTCTGAATGCTGTCAAAATCTGTTCCAGGCCTCCCTGGTGTCTGCAGGTTAACATCGGCCTCTGGTGTTCCCTGGCTGGTGGATGCCTCGTCCTCTCCGGGTGTTCTCCCTCTGTGCAAGTCTGTCCAATTTCCCTTTCTTTTGAGGACCAGTCAGACTGGATCACCGCCACACCCTAATGACCCATTTAGCTTGACTGTCTCTATAAAGATCCTATTTGCAAATTCAGTTACTTCTAGGGGTCAGGACTGCAACATGTTCTTTTTGGAAGACACAATTCAACCCTGTTACCACTAGAAGCTATGTAACATTGGGAAAGTTGGTCAATAGTCACTGGTAAAATGGGGCTAATGGCTATACCCACCTCCTTTGGGCGAAGGAGTCAGGGTCCTTGGTGGTGAAGTGGCACAGTCCTTGGAAAGAATGAAAACTTGGACAAGCACAGGGAGAACCCAGGCAGAGATCAGGATGATGCGCCCACTGACTAAGAAACTCCAGAGACTATCAGCAGCCAGCAGACGCAGGGAGGCCTGGTACAGACTCTGACAGCCCTCAGAAGGACTGGCTCTGATGCCACTCTGATTTCTGACTTCTGGCCTCTAGGAGTGAGACAATACATTTCTGTGGTTGAAGCCACTCAGTGTGGTACTGTTTCCAGCAGCCCTAGCACACGAATGCAGTGGTAAACATGAGCTTCACAGACACTGACATGGAAAAGCCCGGGAAACCCTGCTCAAGACCACAGATTCAGCTGGGTGCAGCAGCACACGCCTGTAATCCCAGAAGCTTGGAAGGCTGAGGCAGGAAGATTTCAAGTTCAAAGCCAGCCTCAGCAACGTAGTGAGGTCCTAAGCAACTTAGTAAGACCTTGTCTCAAAAAATACAAAGGGCTGGGAATGTGGCTCAGTGGTTAAGCACCCTTGGGTTCAATCCCTGGTACCAAAAAAGAAAAAAAAAAAAAGACCATGTGCCCAGGGCCAGGCTGTGCTAGGTCTGAGTCCTCCCCCTGTGGCTGGCTGGCTGGCTGGCTGCGGCCCTGCACAAGCTGCTTAGGTTAGACCTGATCTCAAGATATGTTGCAAAGGTTACACAACAAAGCTGAGGACACCAAGTCATGGGCAGATTGAGACAGGCCTGATTGTCACCTTTGTCTCTCTGACGCCTTGAAAATCTTTCAGGGTGGCTGGTGTAACTTGTTGCTTAATTACAATGACAGAACAAGCAGCACGGCCAAGATGAGACAGTGGGAGTCCTGGAGTCACAACCACAATGACAAGTTGTCTTTTAAAACTTCTAACCAGTACAATACTATAAAAGGAGTTCAAGTTAGTGAATGAGTCTTTGAAGAAGGAAGGCATCTGGAAGTGCACTCTGGTCCTGCCATGGCTGGAAGAGAATGAATGGAGGACTCCTTGTGCACCACTTGTTCCTAGAGAGTAGAAGTGGGTGTCGATGGATGGCAGGCCAACCCCAATCCTGCAGTGCACCTGTGAGCTGGGATAAGAAAGGAAAATGATGCCCACAACAGGCCGTACTAAGGGATCAAGTTCTTCAAAATGCCACGTGGGGCAGATGGAGACACTGTCCTTGCCACAACACATAAGTACACAGCACCCACGAACGTCCTGGGCTCCAGGAATGTGGCAAGAGGGAATCAGAGTCTGCCCTTTTTTTGCGTACACTGGCTGCACCGTGTGGTAACAGACAGGCTCTGCGTGTTCCCGCTCTCCTGGATTGATGGAGGATGGAGTCAGTTATCACACACAGCATGCCTGGACTGGGACACTCTGTGTTAGCTAATCTGACATTTATGGACTGAATGGATTAAGATGGCCTTTTGGTCACATTTTATATTAGGGGACTGAGAACCCAGAGAGACTCATTCACCCATCCACGGCCTGTGAGCATAGCTCAGGAATGGAGCACATGCTTAGCCTGCTTGAAGCCTCAGGTTCCATCCCAACACAAAAATAAATAAATAAAAACAAAAACAACCCCCCCACACCCACAATGTGGTACTAGCAATAAGTATACATGTACAGAGCAATGGGAGAGAACTGGAGTTCAAACACACCCGTATCTCTGCGGACAGTTGGTTACCAACAGTGCTCCCACACCTTTCAATGGGAAAAGACCAACTAATGCTGGGGCAACTGGATCTCCACAGGCAGAGGAGTGAAGCTGGACCCCAACCCTACATCTTGCACAGAAATTTACTCAAAAGGAATCAAAGATCACAACACAAGAGCTAAAAACTAAAAGAGCTCTTAGAAGAAAACACAGGGCAAGTGTTCATGATGCTGGATTTGGCAGCCATTTCATACAGAACACCAAAAGCTCAAGCAAAAAAACAGTTAATTGGACATCAAAATTAAAAACTTTTGCACATCAAGGACATCATCAGAAAATTTAAAATGACAACCCACAGAATGGGGGAAAAAAAAACATTTTGTAAATCATATACCCAAAAAGGGCCAAACATCCAAAATACATAAAGAACTATAAATCAACAAAAAAAAAACGGGCCAGATATTAAATAGAAATTTTTTTGAAAAGGGTATACAAATAGCCCATAAACACATGAAAAAGTGCCCCAAATTATTAGTCACTAGGAAAATGCAAATCAAAACCACAATGTGATATCGTTTCACACACTTTAGGAAGGCTATTATCAAATAAAAACTGAAAACAAGTGGTGGTAAAGATGAGGATAAATCAGAACCCTTCTGTGTTGCTGGTAGGTGAGTAAAATCGTGCAGCTGCTGAGAAAAACAGGCTGGTGTTTCCTCAGAGAGTTAAACACAGGCTCCACAGGACCAGCAACCTCATTCCTACATGTATACGCTAAAGTACGGAAGACTGGTGTTCAAACAAACTATATGCACAAATAGAGTCCCAGCATATTCACAACAGCCACAAGGTGAAAACCCATCACTGATGGACAGTCTTTCTAGACAGTGGAATAACAGCCCTAAAACAGCGAATTCTTGTAGATGCTGCAAGATGGATGAACCTTGAGAATCTTACACTAAGTGAAATAAGGCAGACTCAAAGGGCTACACAGTGTGTGATTCCATTTGCAGGAACTGTCCATAAAGACAGAAGTAGGCTAGTGGTTGCCTGTGGCTGGGCAGGGGAAAGGGGAGGTTGGGGGAAGACCGTGTCATGTGCATGGGTTTCCTTTAAGATGATGAAAACGTTTCAGAACTGAATAGGAGTGCTGATTGCACAACTATGTAAATGTACTAAACGCCAAGCAACTGTTATGTTTTAAAATGGATAAATGGTGAATTTTATGTTAATTTTATCTCAATTAAGAAAAAGGAAGACAGAAATAATGAACACCCCACACATACACTCACAAAAAACCTCTTAGACTCCAGGTGAGCCAAAATAGTGAAATACAAAGTGCTAAACTAGTAAAATACAAAGCTGAACACACCTCCATCCCAATCTTCCATTTTGCCCTAAAATAGCGACCTCCTCCAGGTGAGCAGGCGATCACTGTCTTCAATTGAGAATTCCTTATTTGCAGCTGGATGACTGCAGGAAGCTCAGGCTCCTATCCGGTAAGAAGACCTTAGGAGCAGATGCTTGTCCACCCCAGCCAGCACCCAACCCTGACATTTACCTGTTGTAAATGTGCCTTGCAAGAGACCAGCTGTAATAACCACCTATCTCCACTGAGCGTGACAGCCACCTCTCAGGGACTGAGAGCACATTTCAGCATCAGGGCTGGACTACTGCCCAGGCAGTGCACGGGCTCAACCTGCTCACGTTCTTTGCTCACACCTGTTGCTGGAGGGGAACGGAGGAGACCTCCTTCCTCTCCAGAGAGGCCTGTTAAGAGTTCCCTGTTGTGTCTGACCTGAGGAGTCCAGGCCTGCAGGGTACAGCTGGGAGTCTCCCAATTCCCACCTGGCACACAGGTTCCATACTCAAGTGCTGGCCACAGAGCTGGGCACCACCTCTTTGAGAGCAAATATTCTCTACTTATATGCCACACTAGTCATCTGAGCGCTTAAGGGTGTCTCTGTCATCACCCTCTGGGCAGAACAGGAAAATATATGATGGTCTTGGCTGTAGGCCATCTAAGAGCTCAAGGTCAAGCCCACATCTGACCAGTGTGGGTCCCCCCAGATCTCGCCCCTTGCTCTTATCTGCACGCGCGCGCGCACACACACACACACACACACACTAGCGTGGGGTGGATTTCAATGTTCATTTCATCCTTTAATCTTCTGGGAGTTACCAGTCAGGAGAAAAAGGATCAAAAAAGTAAATGAAAAAAAACATAGTAAAAATCCTGGGCCGTGTATAAAGAGCAATCTTTGAATAACAGAGCTGATGACTTTAAACTTTATCTTGTGCAGACATAATTATTGAAAAGAAGATGGTTTAAATGTGTGAACACTATAATGTTAGGCTCAGCAAGACTAGGAGACATACAGATGATTAGCAGAGGGTAACTGAGGTACAGCACTGGGGTGGTTTTTCTTTTCTGTATTGTTTAATTGTTATAGTCACCACAAATTCCTTGCAATAAATACTAAAAAGACAACTGTGTCCCCACCTCCAAACAGTACCTGTCCCACGTACCTTGTTGAGCTTGCCAAGTGAAGATATGAGATCTGCCCATTCACTTGAGGACTCAAAATTTCTTAAAGCCTTTTCAATCCCTGAGGAATAATTTCTGTATCTGTAGTCATTTAACAGCTCCTGCTCCTCTGGATCCATCTTACATTCTCACAGTGCACAGAGTATCTAAAGCAAATCAAAGAACAGACAAATGAGGGATCTGTTCAGGGACACAAATACTTCCCAGCGCAGAGCCATGGGCGACACATGTCCACAAACACTGCCGTGTAGATGCACTTGGCAATACAGTTCAAATATTTAGCAGGGTTTCTGGGCCAGGCACTATGGTAAATAAAAAGATCAGTGATTCCAACCTCCAGGATTCTGAGGGAGACAAACACGCCCAGCAGAAAGGAGGCGGCCAGCTTCCACCTAATTGACAGCATTAATTCTAGGAGTGAAATTTGCTAAACTACTAAACTATATATTGTTGCCAGGTGCCGATTCTCAGTGCAGTCAGCCCATCCCCCATCACAGGGTATCTGTAATGCCTAAGGACATGCTCTTAAACCACATGGTGTATTGAGCACCTGAATCCTCTCCATGACACCAGAAGACTGGAAATATTCTACAAGAAGATCTGGTGAGAAAAAAAATATATATATAATAGGATGTATGTGCGCTGGGGAGGTAGCTCAGTGGTAGAGTCCTTGCCTAGCATTTGTGAGGCCCAAGGCTTGATCCCCAGCACTGCAAAAGCAAAGAAAATAAGGATGGGATATGAAGCACCTGAGAGCAGCACTGTTCCTCACAGCGGACGGCAACGAGGAGGAACTAAGTGCTGACATGGGCTACAGCGCAGTGACTCCTGAAAACCCAGCTGAGGGGGCGGGCGGGGGTGAGGGGGGGAAGAAGCCGAGAAAGACCATATGCTACACGACTCCATCATGTGAAATGCCCACAGCGGGTGAATCTTCACTGACAGCAAGGCTGGCAGTTGCCGAGGGTGGGTGGAAGCAGAGGGACCCCCATGTGGGCACACATCTCTCGGAGGTGGTGGAAATATAGAATATGACGATGGCCACACAGCTCCGTGAACTTACTAAAATCCACTGGATTATATCCTTGAATGAATGGACTTTATGATCTTTCAATTATATCTCAATAACACTACTATAAAAACTAAACTCTAAATTCCACTCACAGAGCATGCTTCTTCCTGTATTCCTCTTCTCAGAAAGTGGCACCTGTGTCCCTGGGACATTCTGTCATCCTGACTCTTCCTTCACCACACCCAACCCCAGTCCTGTTGGTTTCTTTAGAAAATGCTGTTGACTCCATCCCATTTCAATGCACAGCAAGCCTCCTGCCCCATGCAGGTTTGCACAGGGTTCCTAACAGCTCTCTCTCACATCTTTGTCCCTCTCCAGTATATTTCATAGGTCAGGAATTGTCTTAAAACACACATTAAGAAAACATCATGGCTATGTTTAAAACTCTTCCTACATTGTTTATAATAAATTCAAACTTCTCCCTCCCCTGCCTACAAGGATCCACCTACTACTCTCCTTACCACACTCTGCAAGACCCAAGACAGACTTGTTCTACCACAAGGCCTTTGCACATGCTGTGTCCCCTCTGCAAAAATATACTGTGCTACACATATGCACCCACCAAACAAAATCATTCATGGGAAGATTGTCCCTTTTTCTGAAATATAATTCTTCACACTATTTGAAAATATTAAGGAAAGAATGGCAATGAGAGGTGGTAATTTGTTTATTTTGCCAAGAAAAGACTGAGAAGTTGGCATATCCAAACAGTCCATAGCTTTTTTTTTTTTTTCCCCCTCCCCTAAGAAATTTCCTGGCCTGAAATCCAGCCTAACTACAGCACCACACTACTCCATGTACAACCTGTTTACTTAACTAAACATCTAAGCACTGGGGAAAGAAACCTGAAGATTACAGGGTTCCTAGTCTCACTGTACACAGCCTAATAAAAAAGGAAATATCTAAATGCATAATTTCAACTTAATGTGCATACACAGTGACAGAGATTAGGCTGAAGTATCAGAAACAGGCAAGAAGAAAGAGGAAGCCTTACAACAGGACAGAAGTCCTCAAGGTCCACAGGTGTGGGTGGCTCACAGTACCAGGAAGAGCTGCACCAGTGATAAAGTTGTGTGTTTAGGAGGTGAGGTGGCAAAGGTGAGCCACTGCTCTTGGCAAAGAGAGCGCCAGCCAGGCAAGAATAGGTAACTGAAGCAGTTCAATGCTATGGCTACCCATATGAAGAAAGTACTATTTGGTGTAAGAGCAAAATGAGAAGTTTGGAAATAGTCATTCAAGCAAGCTCCTTTATTTATAAATACAGGGCATTTGATATGATGACACTATACCAGTCTTCTGTGTGAGCTTGGTATCCCATCATTCATGCATGCATTTATCTCATGCAATACACAGGAGTCTCATGAGTATTATCAATTCCAAGATGAGGATATTGGGAAACAGGTCACTCAGAAAATTCTGAAGGCCACTTAGCTAGCGGCTGGCTGAACCAGGATTCCAGCTCAGGTCAGTGAGATGCTATGTTATGCTAGGGCAAGAAGGACTAGTTCAGTCCTTAAATAGGTTTTTTTTTTTTTTTTGGTTAGATTTCGCAATCCATCCTGGATACAGCTTTGTGAGGGATTTGATAGTTTGCTAAACTGGTAAGAGTTATAGCCTACAAACCATTATGCACACAAACGAGTAATCACACAAATGTGTCTGACCAGATATGTTCACCTTAAGACTAAAAATGTCGGTAGGATATCTCTACCTTACCCATTCTTAACTTCTTAGAAAAACAAGTTCAAGTGAAAAACCATCTGCTACATCTCAAAGAAGTTCACTGTAAATACGGGTACAAGGAGGAACAAGTTGGCTAAAAACAAAACAGAGTGAAAATTGTAAATAGCCACTAATCCATGAGCGAGATTTACTCACAGATAGGAACCCTTGATCTATGGCACACACACTCACAGCCAGTTGGCTTAATCAACTGGAAGACACATTATTTAGAATTTGGTCTTTCTAAGTAGTAATTGTACTGAAAATATACTGAAAAAATTAAAGACACTTGGTAGGAGTAGGCTTTGGAGTGACCCACCTCCCAAAAAAATACCTACAAAGGTTTCCCCTCCGTTGCGGAGCCTGTCGGGCTGCTGTCTCCAGGTAAGAGCAATACCTGCGGGTGACAGTGTTGTCAGCAGCCGCTCTTGGAGGAGCTAAGGGGATCCCCATGCTGCCCGCAGCCAAGAATCCTGCAGGACGCAGGGCCAGGCCGGCAAAGCGCGCGCACTGCGGCTGGATCCCCTCTCCTGGGCACAGTCGGGGGAACGAGGTGGTGGTAGGGGGGTGTTTCCTTAACAGGAGAGCCCTCAGTTCGGAAAGGCCGGCGTCCCCAGCCTCCTCCCCAATTGGGACCGCACCCGCAAACAAAGGCAGAGCTCCTCCGCCCTCCGCCAGACAAGAGGATGGCCGGGTGGTGACCCACCTGACCTCCACCCGCGCCCGGCCCGGCGAGGGCGTGCCCGCGCATCCTCCACCGCCGTGGCCCGGGGAACCCGGAGGGGACCCTCCCAGGCTGCCCGCGGGGTGTCAGGCCGGCGCCCCACGCCCACGCGCAGCCTC